AAAACATTGCTTTACAAACCTTAAGACTTAATAAAAAAAAATTGATATTTTCCATATGAAAGCATTGTGATGTTTACTGATAATCTGCCAAATTTCATTAACATACACTTACTAATTTAAGTTATAGCTTAAACTATAACAAGCAAAAAATGGTTACAAGGTCAGTCCTAGGGACTTAGCCTGTGCTGAATGAGCTAAATCAAGGGTTTGATTCCCAGTGGTAGACAGTGCAGATAGCCTATTGTGTAGCTTTGCACTAAAAAATCCAAACCAAAGATATTAGTTTAAAATATAGTTTGTTGTTAGAAAAATATTTTGCAATCAAGTTAATATTTCTGGTGTTTAAATATGTTAGAATGTTGATTGGTTATTCTGAAAATTGCATGCCTCATATTTTAAATATATGTAACGAACCCCCCAAAGAATTTAAATTGTCTAGAAATCTGTGGTTTGAAATGGGTTTTCATACGACCTGACTGTTACCTAGTGATCAGTGTAGAAGATGAGCTTGTTCAAATAGATATTCAAATAGTTTAGGTACTTCAAAAGAAGCATTGAGTTGATTATATAGCAACTACAGAATGGTGAGATAGAGCATCTGCTTTTTTCTCTGTAATAACATTATTCAAGTATGTCTGTTCACAAGAAGCATAATGTTAAAATAATATTACTATTTCTCAGCATAATTTAATAGTAATAGTAAATCTTTCCTTCTTTATCTTTAGTTTTGATTACAAATGTGCAGATGTATTCAATATTGAACATTAACTTGTACATTTAAGGTTGCTTGTTATGATCTATATCATAAATAGTAAACATGAGAAGAACCACTGTCTGAGAAATGTATCAATAATTCAATTCTCAGAAGTGTGCATCAGTAAACATGAGCAAGTTTTATATCACGCATTCATTTTAATTCTTATAATTGTCATTGAAATGGCTCAGGAAGTTGATTTCAGTATGTGATAACTTCATACTAAATGTAAGTGAACTTGAATGATGTTTTTAATGTTTAATTCTCTTTTGGTAACTTGTCCATTGATTATATTTTTTGAGTTGCACAGTTTTTACTTGAAGGAAATTTTTTATTAAATTAAAACTGGTGAATTTTCAAGAGTGGCGTGTATCATAAACTATTTTTAAAGGACTTATTTTAAAGATTAAAAAAATATTTGTGTAAAGACCATACACAAAATATATAACATTTAATACTAATACATTTAATATCAAGACAATAAACAATGTTTTTCTTCATTATCCATTCAAGCAGTCTCCAGCTATTACAATAAAAAATGGTTTTGTTTTTTTATCCCCCATCTTTTTTTACTTATTAAATACTTTTGACTTGCATATTATAAATGTTACTGTGGTAAGTTAATGTATATTTTTTGTGATTGTATCTTACATCATAAATGATGAACTTTATCACCATCTTTCAACTGAAAAAAGATGCAGAGTTCTGTCCCAACGTTCTGATATGACCCAAGACGTTGTGTACCTTGTTTAATTTCTCTGAAAGCCCTATTAATGTGATATTTTTTCTTTTCTAGTTGATCCATTCTGAAGTAATACCAAGAAACTGAAAATGTAAAATACAGGTAAATTATTAATACACTAACCATATACATATGGCTTTGGTCCAGTGCACCAACCTCTGTTTTTGTGAAGCTATACATAGCAGTGCTTACTATAATTCTGAATATAATGTGTATCTTTATGAAATTTAGTAAGATATTAGTAAACATTACTAGCATGTTATGTGTTTTAGCAAGTTACATTCAAATTTAATTGAACTACATTCTTTTAATGGTATACTAATAAATATAGCATAAAAACTTAACTAGTAATAGTATATATTTTAAATTCTTAATTTTTTAAAGCAGCATAAAAAATCCTGAATTTCTTCTATCGTGAGAATTGACATTGATTCTCTAATTTATTTGTCATCCCTCCAAGAAGTATGAAATTTAACATAAATTACCCATTATAATGTCATTGCTTAGGCAAAGCATAATTTTTATAGCTTTCTCTTGTTTGGTTACAGAGGCAAAAAATAGAAAATCAGACCCCCACCTGTCACATCCTCTTTCAGAAATTGCCAATAGTTCTTTTTTTAATACTATATTATTTATATCCAATACAAAGCCAAGGTTTTAATTTATCAAATATATATTATTTGTTTTCTGTACAGAAATTTGTCATTTCACTACCAGTTCAAACTTTATTCCCACAGAAAACACATCGATGAGCTTAGCTGAATTTTTAATAGCTCTTGTTGCACAGTTAAAAAGCCAGAAAATTGTAATAGTTATGGGACATTGTAAGGTTTTTCATGTTATTTTGTGTTCTTTGGTGCATTATTAATTCAGCTTAGCTGAATTTTTAATAGCTCTTGTTGCACAGTTAAAAAGCCAGAAAATTGTAATAGTTATGGGACATTGTAAGGTTTTTCATGTTATTTTGTGTTCTTTGGTGCATTATTAATTAAATAAAATATTTAGTTCAGTAGTACTATTAGTATAAAAAGACATTTGTGTCATTAAGTGAAATTTATTTTGTTCTTTAATTTTTTATGTACAAAAGTCGTGATGTCTACTGAAAATCTGCCAAATTTTGTGAAGATACACATACACTGTATTAAAAGTTATAAAGGAAACTAATGAGTACAAAATGGTTATGAACTTGGTTGATTCAACTAAACCTGTGTGGAGGGAATTAATAGTATTTTTCTAAAGATTTGCCTCAAAATTTATAATTCGTCTGACTAGTCTGAGTGCAAGGTAGCTTTTCATGTTAAGAATTAAAATACTTTTCCCATTTTGAATAAGCTTTGGAACCTCTTAAATGATTATATTATAATTTTTTTTCACTAAAACTAGACTGTTTCTTCTCTATGTAACAATAACTAGAGATGTAAGATAAAATGAAAATTTTAAAAATACAAACAAATTAAATTACCGTTTCTTTTTCTGGAATGGTGACATATTTTAACAGATAATTACAATTATTTATCCTAAAGAGCCTTAGGCTTGTAACAGTCTGTTTCCTTTTTATTTAATTTTCTGAGTAGTGTTTCAAGCTGTGTAAGAAATTAAAAATCATCCTAATTAAAGTTATAAGTGTATAGCTTAAGCTATGGTTTTAAATTCTATAGATAACTTTACTATATTAACTTTTAATATAGTATGTATATCTTCACAGTATTTGGCAGTCTTCCAGTAAACAAGTCTTCACATACAAAGTCATATTTTTTAGTGGAGTACTTTAAATAAACAAACAAAAAAGATTTGTCCGTGAATATATTGAGTATTTGTTTTGAATACTCTGCAAAATGATTTTAATGTTAAGATTAAAAATACTTTTCTGTATCTCAAATATCATTTGTGTAATCTCTAAAACCTCCTAAATAGATTTCAAATGTTAGTTTTCAGTAATACTTTATATTTTGTTATTTTCTATACCTGAATTCTATGGGGTCTGCCAATTTGACCAGGCTCATAATCACCATAAACAATTAGGAAATAAATTTAAATATGCTTTTTTCGTTCTAGAATGACTACAGATTGTAGCATGAAAACGCAAATGTTTAGTCTAAATATCTTAGATCTTGTAACATTATACATTTATATATATTTATGATATTGACCTTTCAGCCATGCCTGGCTAACAATACAGAAGTTACAATGACACGGCTTACATGCACTTGTGATACTATATCCAATAATATTAAACTGGCTTTTACAAAGTGACATGTCTTGGCTTTTTTAATGGACTAGTATTTTGTAAAATAGTTAATTTCAATTATACATTATTACTATTTAAAAATGAGTTGTTAAACTTATTTTTCTTATAATATGGAACAGTAAGTAAAGCAGTAAAACAATTATCTGTTCTAGTTATGACCTTTGTACTCATTTGATGCTTGTTATAAGATGCTAAGCCTTATGAAATTTCCCACTTGGAGGATGTGAAAAAAATTATTTTTAGGATTTATATATACATTTTAAATAACGAAAACAAATCATAAGTTACTATATTGATACCATAGAATTTCACTATAATTTATAAAGTGTAGTTACAAAGATTTATTTGGGCCTAAAACATATGAAATTTTAAGCTCACTTAAGACTCGCATTATTGGTTGAAATTTTATCTGTAAGGAATGAGTAAGTGATTATATATAAGGGAGCCTTTCCAAAAACGGAAAGAGGTGAGTGGGGTCACTTTGTTTGATTCAGTAAATGAGATATCTTAGAATATAAAATAAGAACCTATCTTTTTCTATCTGACACCGTGTCAATATCGGTAGTTTGAGTTCCTAATTTGTATGAAACTATAGACTGTATTTTGACATCACAAACATCTAATTTGAACCAGTGCAGCCTTCAACACACATGACACAAAAATCGATGTTTTTACTATTTACTTTTAAGTTAAGAAATTAACTAGCATATAATACCCAAATTTAAATTATAATCTACAATTTGATATCAAACTTGCTGACATAAATTCATAAAATGGAAGTCAACAAACGAGATGACATGACCTTTGACACGTGACCCAGTGAGGTAGGGTTAAATCTGATTTTTACATTTTATCTACTTTTTATAACAATAGCTAAAGAATCAATAAACTAATTTAGTATGTATATGTTAGTCTTGATAAGTTAACCCTAATTTTTGGTAAGGTTCTTGTTAGTACTTTACTGCATTTTTATTTATTTTGTATATTGAATTTAGAACAATGATTGTGCTGATATTTACTCTGATCATTTTTGTAACTTACGTCATAAATGATGATCTTTATCACCATCTTTCAACTGAAAAAAAAGATGCGGAATACGTCCTAATGTTCTGATATGACCCCAATGTTAAAGTTATTGAACTTTTAATCTTCTATGAAAACCCTTTAATATAATATTCTTTCTTTTGTAGGTGATTCAATATGAAGGGATGCTCAGAAACAGGACATAAAGGTAACTTAAGTAAATTAACTAATTAAATTGCTTTACTTAATCTTGGGTAGTGTTTTGTGGACACACACAAGCACCATATTTAATCCATAATCATTTTGGATATTCAATTTAGAACACTGTAATTATGCTGATATTTACTCTGATCATTTTTTGTAACTTAGGTCATAAATGATGATCTTTATCACCATCTTTCAACTGAAAAAAAATGCGGAATACGTCCTAATGTTCTGATATGACCCAAATGTTAATGTTACTGAAATTTTAATCTTCTTTGTAAGCCTTTTAATATAATATTCTTTCTTTTGTAGGTGATTCAGTATGAAGGGATGCTCAGAAACAGGACATAAAGGTAACTTAAGTAAATTAACTAATTAAATTGCTTTACTTAATCTTGTGTAATGTTATGTACACACACACACACACACACACACACACACACACACACACACACACACACCATATTTAATTCATAATCATAAGATCTAATAACTTCTATATGACTTGAGGTATGTGTACATTTCATTAATTTGAAAATGGATGACACTTTGTTTTCAGTTATTGAAGTGTATTTATGATATTGAGAAAGGAATGTGATGTATTTGTGCTCTAGTTTGGTTTATATATAATTATTGTAAACAAAAAATCTTACCCTTGTATTTATTTAAAAGTGATATAATATTGTGGAATATAGGGGTGGCAGTGCCAAAATAAATGCAAACAAGAATATATGGATGAGCTATACATAGATCATACCTAGATGATTTTTCAGTACTGAAATTTAATGTTGCACTGTAATTTAATGTTGCACAGTAAAATTCACGAGTACAAAAGGTTACGAGGTCAATTCAACTGACCTCATAGTGAGAGTCTAATAATAAAGACATGTTTGGACTCAAGTTGGTTTTCCTTGTACACAAGTCCTAGGCTCTTTCACTATATTAATGTCTATTCTGACATGACCATGATATTATGATAAACAAACTACATACCCACAGTCATGATTATATAACTTCCAACTGCAGCAAAATTAAAGTTAGATATGTATTTTTGTTTGCATTGTTTTTGGCACTGCCATCCCTACATCATTTTACATTTACAAAATATCTTCTATTACTTGTTTTTTGATGGTTTTTTTATCATGTCTGAAAGTTATTGTATTTTATGAATGTATAATAAAATTTAAAACTGTATTTTTTCTTCTTCACTTCATAATATAAGAGTTGGCTCCCTAAAGGCACTGAATGTATAATATACAAAGCATTGAGTATTCTGTCAGTTATCTAACATTAATCTCTTATTAGTTGGTAATTCCTGTTTCACCCTGTACTTAAGTTTTTTAAAGGAACACCAGATTTCTGTAAGACAGCTAATAATAGACCTTGTAACCATTTTGTGCTTGTTAGTTTTCACGCTATAACTTTTAAATTAGTAAGTGAATGTTAACGGAATTTGGCATATTATCA